GGGGGGGTCTCTTCCAGGCTATCTTGGAGGGCCTGGGGGGGTCTGGGGACGATGTTTTGGAGGGTTCTCCCACGGGGGGGGGTCTGAAATGGCTTGTCTTGAAGGGTCCAGACCCCCTCCCTTTTTTTACGAAATCTGGAGTACCCTTGTGTCCTTGCCTAAGCGGCCCGTCCTTTGCCGTTTTCCCTGGTCGCCCGCCACCCAACAAATCCCAACGTCGGCCTCGTAGGGTCTTGTGCGTGCTTACCAGCCGGCGTCAATACACGTTTTGACTGTATCCTCTCCCTGGCTTCGTCTCAGATGTGGCCCTCGGCGGGAGCCACGGCGGAAGGCCAGGCGGAGGCGGGCGGAGGAGTGGAGCGGCGGCGGGCTCTGCCGGCCAGAAGGCGGAGGAGTGCGTGTGGAGAGGTCTGCAGTCACCGAGTGCCTAGCTCGCAAGCGTCCGAGAAAAACGTGTCTTCCCCTGTATGCAACGGATCGTGGAGCCCCCGCGGCAGATCCAGGCCGTTTTCGAGCAGTTCCTTTGCGAGTGGTGGACCGCTCTTGTCTAGACAATTTGGGATGGTGGACGGCTCTCGCAGTCCCGTCGGCGACGGGACGTGGAGTTTGTTACCACCCTGGAGCATGTCCCTATCCCTATGATTGGCACCGCCTCATTTCGATACCAAACTTACGGGGTCCCTCCGTTCCAGAGGGCGCATCCCTAAGATTGTTATGGCCTTTCGGCTTGCCATTCTCAGGGGTAGGGATCAGTTCCAGGCTGGCTAGTTTACTCATGCTCGCGCATGCTTTGTGGCATGTGGGGCGACCGAGGTCCACGCCCGCCGCTATCGCGCGCTTCGCGGAGCTCGAGCTGGGGGACATGGTGCTGTGCTGCGTCAGCGGGTTAAGCCCGGGCGCCAGCAGCCCCCTGACACTGTCGCCAGAGGCAGGGTGGAGTTGAACTGCATGTTCCCATCCAAAGGCGGATATCTCGTCAAATTCGGTAGGCTGAGGGAGTTCGGGTGCGGGGTTGGGCTATCAGTTAGTGCTCTAGCGAACTGGAGGATAGGGGAGGAGGATGAGGAGGATGAGAAGGGGAGGGGAGGAGGATGAAGAGGAGCAGCTGGAGCAGGAGCAGGAGAAGGATGGAGGATGTTGAGGGAGGAGGAGGAGAAGGAGGTTGAGGAGGATCAGGAGGGGGCGGAGGAGCACCAGTGCAAACCCAAGATGCATCAACGATCTTGGAACACACCCTCCCTCCAAGCTTCCTCTTCATAGGCCCCAGACAAGGATACATTTCCACTGAGGGAAGTGCCCCGTTGGGGACATCTGTGTGAACATCCTGAAGCGTGCCGAAACACCATTCTCAGGACTTCGACGCCACGAGTCAACCTGACTGCTACGTTTTGACGATTTTGAATCGCGTCAGGACACCATTCCTTGGGACTTCAATGTCGCGAATCAGCGTGACTGTTGCGCCCTGACATGCCTGAATCGCTCCGAAACGCAATTTCTGGTACGTCAACCATGCGAATCCGTGCAACTCTTGCAAAGGTTTGAAACGAATGCACGCGGCGCTGAGAACCACATTTTGAAAACGAGCCGCCCTCAATCCGCGAAGCTCTGGCAAATTTTGCAACAAGAATGTTCGCGGCGTTGAGGCTAGAGCCACACTTTGAAAACGAGCTGTCTTCAATCCGACATGAAAGTGCGCGGCGTTGAGGCCAGAACCACATTTTGAAATAACGAGCCGTCTTAAATCCGTGAAGCCCTTTCAAAGGTTCAAAATCAAGGTGCGCGGCGCCAAGGCTAGAGCCACATTTTGAAAACGAGCCGCTTTCAATGTGTGAAGCTCTTGCAAACGTTCAAACTGAAGGTGCGCGGCGCTAAGACGAGAGCCGCGTTTTGAAAACGAGCCGCTTACAACTTGTGAAAGTATTGTGAAGGTTCAAATGAAGGTGCGCGGCGCTACTGCGAGAGCCGCGTTTTGATAACGACCAGCCCTCAATCCGTGAAGCTCGTTTCAAGCGAGTGTACGCGGCGCGACGGCGTGAGTCACATTTTGAAAGCGGCCCGCTCTCAAGCCGTGCAGCCGAGAGCCGCATTTTGGAAGCGACCCGCCCTGCCCAGCCCGCCCTTCCGACTGCCCTCAGGGTGCGACAGGGAGGAGTTATTCATAAGGAAAAGGAATGGATGAGGAGGAGGAGAAGGAGGAGGTGGAGCAGGAGGAGGAAGAGGAGGAGGAGGAGAGGGAGGAGTAGAGGGAGGAGGAGGAGGATGAGGAGGAGGAAGATGGTGGGGGAAGGAGGAGGCAGGCAGGGGGGAAGTGAAGTAAGAGAGGAGGACGAGGATGATACATTCGTTATTCGTAAAGAATCACATGCCACACAGGTTTGATCATCTATGCTTCGGGGGGGCAACCGATTTCCCGAGGGGTGGAGAAGGAGGAGAAGGAGGAGGAGGACGGAAAAGGTCAGGTGGGGAGGGAATGACCTCGCTCACAGGGGATCTTGCCCGCATCTGCAACGCTTGATGGGGGGATGAAGACGATGGGCAAATAAAGAAGATGGTGAGGATGTTAACGTTGATGATGCCGATGCTGATGATGATGATGCTGATGATGCTGCTGATGCTGCTGATCTTGATGATGATGTTGATGATGATGCTGATGATGATTATGATGATGCTGATGCTGATGCTGATGCTGCTCATGATGATGAGGAGGAGGAGAAGGAGGAGGAGATGATACTAGAGGAACGGGAATAAGGATAGAGAAGGAGGGGGTAAGGGGGGGCCAGGCCTCCGACGTCATGTTTTCCCCATTCCAAAGGATGGGTTCTTGTTATTCTCTGACCGCGCCGGACCCCTCACCCTCCCATCCCTCCTCCCTCTCTGCACTAGACGATGATAATGAGTGTCATGATGATGACGATGCTTGTGGTGAGAGTATGATGTGAGTATGGTAGTGATGGTGAATGATGGATGAGTATGATGATGCTGATGATGATGCTGATGATGGCGATGATGATGATGATGCTGATGATGATGATGGAGATGATGATGATGATGATGATGATGATGATGATGATGATGATGATGAGGATGATGATGATGATGATGGTGATGATGATTATTGTGATGATGATGATGATGATGATGATGGTGGTGGTGGTGGTGGTGATGATGATGATGATGATGATGATGATGATGATGATGATGATAATGATGATGACGATGATCAGATGATGAGGATGTCTCGCAGCGTATTGCTGGTTTTAGCGCTCATAAAGGGGGGCGCCAGGGGGTATCTCACGGCCTCCGTTCGCGCCAAAATGGTGGGGATGTCTCGAGCGATTTGCTTGTTTTGGTCGCGAACATCCTCCGCTTTCGGAGCAGATGTTGAGGATGTCTCGTGCGAGGCGCCTCCTAAGGGGGGGCCGCCAGGGGTATCTCACGGCCTCCGTTCGCGCCCAGATTGCGGGGATGTCTTGAGCGGTTTGCTTGTTTTGGTCGCCAACTTCCTCCGCTTTTGGAGCAGATTTGGAGGATGTCTCGTGCGAGGCGCTGGCCATCGCACCCCAGGGGGCCGAGATTTTCAGGATGTCTCGATCGGTTTGCTTGTTTTCGTGGCCAGACTCGTGGGCACATATTCTCCCCAGGATGCCGCAGGAGGCTCCAGCAGGCTCCAGGGGAGAGCTTTGGAATCGCCACGGAATGCCACTGGCGCGCCCAAGTGCGCTGGGCGGCTGCTAATTCACAGCGGGGGGCGGCCCAGGGAGACCCTGGGAGCCTTGGAATCGCCACTGAGCGTCCCTGGCGCGCTCAGGGGCGCCCTGGGCCTTGGGCGACAGCTAGTTCCCCGTGGCGTGCGCCTGGGGTGCCCTGCGAGAGCCCTGGGAGCTCTGGAACCGCCACGGAGCGTCCCTGGCGCGCCCAGGAGCGCCCTGGGCCCTGGGCGGCTACTAATTCACCGTGGCGTGCGCCTGGGGTGCCCTGGGAGGGCCTAGAGAGGGCCTTGGGGGGGCCCTGAGAGCTTTGGAATCGCCACGGGGCGTACCTGGCGCGCCCAGGAGCGCCCTCGGCCCTGGGTGGCTGCTAATTCATTGTGGCGTGCGCCTGGGGTGCCCTGGGAGAGCCCTGGGAGGGACCTGGGAACTTCCGAATCGCCACGGAGCGTCTCTGGCGCGCCCAGGAGCGCCCTGTGCCCTGGGCAGCTTCCACTTCACCATGGCGTGCGCCTGGGGTGCCCTGGGAGGGCACTGTGAAGGCCCTGGGAGCTTTGGAATTGCCACGGAGCGTCCCTGGCGCGCCCAGGAGCGCCCTGGACCCTGGGCGGCTGGTAATTCACCGTGGCGTGCGCCCGGGGTGCCTTGGGAGGACCGTGGGAGGACCCTGGGAAGGCCCTGGGAGCTCTGGAATCGCCACGGAGCTTCCCTGGCGCGCCCAGGAGCGCCCTGGGCTCTGGGCGGCAGCTAATTCACCAAGGGGGGGCGCTTGGGGTTCCCTGGGGGAGCCCTAGGAACTTCTGAATCGCCACGGCCTGGCGCGCCCAGGAACGCGTTGGGCGCTGGGCGGCAGCTAATTCACCGTGGGGGGCGCCTGGGGTGCCCCTGGAGGGCATTGGGGGCTCCCGAATCGCCACGGAGCGTCCTTGGCGCGCCCAGGGGCGCCCTGCAGCTAATTCGCTGTGGAGGGCGCCTGGGGTGCCCTGGGAGGGCCCTCGGAGCTCTAGAATCGCCACGGAGCATCCCCGGCGTGCCGTGCCCATGAGCGCCCTGGCCCTTGGGCGGCAGCTAATTCATCAGGGGGGGCGCCTGGGGTGCCCTGGGAGGGCACTGGAGGCTCCCGAATCGCCACGGACATCCCTGGCGCGCCCATGGGGTGCCCCGGGAAGACCCTAGTGGTTCCCGAATCGCCACGGGGCGTCCCTGGCGCGCCCAGGAGCGCCCTGCGCCTAGGGCGGCAGCCAATTCACCAGTGGGGGTGCTTGGGGTGCCTTGGGAGGACCCGAGTGGCTCCCGAATCGCCACGGAGCGTCCCTGGCGCGCCCGGGAGCGCCCTGGGCCCTGGGCGGCTGCTAATTCACTGTGGAGGACGCCTGGGGTGCCCTGGGAAGAGCTCGCGAATCGCCACGGAGTGTCCCTGGCGCGCCCAGGAGCGCCCTGGGCCCTGGGCGGCAGCTAATTCACCGTGGCGTGCGCCTGGGGTGCCCTGGGAGGGTTCGGGAGCTTTCGGATCGCTATGGAGTGTCCCTGGCACGCCCAGGAGCGCCCTGGGCCCTGGGCTGCTGCTAATTCACCGTGGGGGGCGCCTGGGGTGCCCCGGGAGAGCCCTGGAGGTTTCGAATCGCCACGGAGCGTCCCTGGCGCGCCCAGGAGCGAGGCCCCAGAAGGAGGCCACAGGAAGACTCAAGAGGCCACATGATGTCCCAAGAGGCTCCAGGAGGCCCCAGGAAGCTCCAGGAAGCAACAGGAGGCCCCAGGAGGTCACAGGAAGCGCCAGGAGGCCTTAGAAGGCAACCGGAGGCCCCGAGAGGTCCCAGGAGCAGGAGGCTTCAGAAGGCAACAGGAGTGGCTCCAATCCCATGTGCTTTACGTAATCCAAAAGCCCGAATAAAAAAAATGAATTTCAAATTTTAAGCGCAGCCCCCTGGGAATTCTGCAGCTCCTCTAAAAGGAGTTGCTGCGCTCCTGGGGTTCTGCCCCCCCCAACCCTCGGTATTTGAAAAAGGTATGTTTTTTTTGGAGATCGGACCATTGTCTCTCTGTTTCTGTCTCTCTGTCTCGGTCTGTCTGTCTCATTCTCAATAGTTTTAAAGCTCTTTTTCTACAAAATGTTTTGATGTGTTGTTCGTTTGCTCATTTTCGTGCGTCTCGTATGCGAACTTTCGTTTGCGTCTCAGCGTCCAGAGATATAGGAAACACGTGGTAGTTTCGTGACGATATCTTCGCGGTGACGCATTTCACCCCGTTTGGCTTCACATTTTTCTTTTTTCTTTCTATCTCTCTCTCTCTCTCTCTTTCGCTCCCTCTCTCTCTCTCTATCTCTCTCTCTCTTTCTCTCTCTTTCTTTCTCTATAATGATGTTCTTCTTATCTCTCTATCTTCTTTCTCTATCTTTCACGCGCTCTCTCTCTTTCTGTATCTCTCTCTCTCTCTCTTTCTCTCCCCCTCTCTCTCTCTCTCTCTCCCTCACTCTCTTCTTATTTCGGTTCTCGCCTTCTCGCTCCGTCTTCCCATCTCTTCCCGTCTTTTGTTTTCTTTCTCTTCCTCTTGCCCGTGGCTTTTCCTCGCCGAGCAAGCTCAAGCCACGAGCTCCGCGGCGGACCCCCGCGCGGCGCTCGCCGAGGCCCACGCGGACCGCAGTCGGCGCCCGCGGCCCCTGTCCGCTAGGCGCCCGCGGCCACTCGGCCCAGACCTCCCCTCCGTGGCCGAGGGCAGCGAGATGGCGGCGGGAAACCCCGCGCCCATGGCGCACGCAGGCGGCCAGGAGGCCGCAGTGGCGGTCGAGGAGGACTCGGGCGATTGGGCGCAAGAGGGCCACAAACTGGCACATCGGGCAGGCAAGCGTTGGTTGTGCATCAAAGGGGCCGAGCCGAAAGGCACCCCGCTCCTCGCCATAGACGGCAAGAGTGGCTCCGGGATGGAGCTCGTTTGGTGGGGGAAGAATTTCCGCGGACTTCACGACAGGCATCGGCGCTACAGCAGGGTCCTGATCTGCAAGGTGTGGCTTGACAGACAGGTCATTGGCCTCGGCGACGAGTTCAACGTCCTGGTGATCCACGTGCACAACTCGCTGGCACATTCGAAAAAGGAGGGTAAACGCATCGAGTACTTCAGATGGTTCGCGGCCTTGCTCGAAACATACAACGTCAAGGTTGTGGTGGGGGACTTCAACGCGATGATGTTCGAGGCGCTGCGCGAATGCCGCGGTCGCGGCGTCGCCGTGGACACGGCGGCCTGGCGCGCGTTCGAGCTGATCCCTGGTGGCGCGCCTGCTGCGGACAGCTGCGCGGCGTTCTTTGTGGACTGCCCTGGCACTTGCTCCCTGCTGCGCCCCCAGAGCGCCCTGCGCGAGAGCTACGGCGGCATCCCGGAGAAGGGTTTCCCCGAAGGGTACGGCAGCTTCAGGGCAAAATGCGACAGAGGCCTCCCTGGTGGAGAGGCCCCTGGCTGGCCTTTAGACAGTTACACGCCGAGGAGCGCAGGCTGCAGTGGCGGCCAGGAACATAACCGCGTCAAGATTCAAGAGTTTCTCCAGCCATCGGACGCAAGCCTCGCTGAACTGAACCGCGGAGGCATCGCGCAGACAGAACGGCGCGCCAGGACACAGCAAGGCACTTGCCTGATTACCGTGCGGCAGAAGGCAATGGACGTTGAGGCGTGGAAAGGCGTCACTGGGACCAACAGGCCAGGGTCGCACGTGCCTCTGCGTTTCTGCGTGGAGGGGCGGACGCGCGAACCCGCAACGCACGGAACGCGAGGTCGGCCAGCGAAGCGCTGGGGGAGGCGCAGGTGGAGGGCCAACTCACGGGGGGCGCAGAGCTGCAGTGGCGGCTTCAGGGACCCAGCCGAAACGGACAACGAGGAAGCTCCCGCGGCAGCAGCTCCCGCAGCAGAAGCTCCACAAGCAACGCCTCCACAAGCAGCAGCTCCCGCGGCAGCAGCTCCCGCGGCAGCCGCTCCCGCGGCAGCAGCCCCAGCAGCAACTCCAGGAGCAGCAACGCTACCGCCGCCGCCATTGCGCAGAGAAGCTCCCGCACCAGCGCCATGTCTGGGCGCCGCGCCGTTGGCCCCCCAAGGAGCAGCCCCCGCACGCGCAGTTTCGAACGAAGCACCGGCAACAACCCCAGGAGCAGCACCACCAGAGAGGCAGCTCTCCAAAGAGCAGCCCCCGCAGCACCAGCTCCAGAAGCAGCCCGAACAACCGCCCCAGGAGCAGCAGCAACACCACCGCGGGATCCACCTCCAGCCGCAGTCCAGCGCGCAACCAGCAGCGTCCTCAGGTCAGTTCCACCACGGTTTCGTTCCAGGCGGAGGTCGCCCCCCAGCGCGAGCTTCCACGGCGGACTTCCAGACGCACCTGCTGGCGTTATCGAAAGCCGCTGCCCAAGATGCGAAAGCGCGCACCTTGGCCGCAGTGGCGGCCTCGTCGGCGAATACCGATGGGTCATTGAGGGCGCGCGCCGACCTCGAGGCAACGCCTCCGCCCTGGCAGGGCGAGCAGTGGCCGCCGCCAGGCAATTCCTGGCAGCCCGCGACTCCGCAGCTCTGGTGCGACTGGCCGCCTGCGGGGGGCCCTCCACTGCCGCAGATGGCCCAGGGGCAGGGGGCGCAGTCCTCGGGGGGAATGCGCGGACCTGTCGGCTACGCGGTGCAAGCACCGACGCAGGCCGCAGTGGCGGCCCCCAACCAGATGCCCGACATCGCTGCGATCTCGGCGCGCATGGAAACCCGCGTGGAAAGAATGGAATCCCGCATGGAAAGTATGGAGGAGAAGCACGAGCAGCTTATGAAGGAGGTCAAGCAAGAAACCGCGGCGGAAAACAACGCCCTGAGGGCGGAAGCAAAGGACCTGAGGGAGGCGCTCGCGCGGTCGCGGGAGGCAAATTGGCGCACAGGCGACTGGACCAGCGGCTGGGTCTGGCGCGGCGGCCGCGACCAGTGAAGGGCGGCTGGGGAGGCTGCAGTGGCGGCCTGCTTCCTGCGCGGCGTGGTGCTGCAGTGGCGCGCCTAATTACGTAATTACTGCGTCCGCTTGCGTGGTGAGAAAAAACGGCCCTCCTCTGTTGTCCCTCACTCCTCCTCCTCCTCATCCTCCTCCTCCTCCTCCGCCTCTCCCTCCCTCCCTCCATCCCTCCCTCCTCCTCATCCCCCCCCCTCCCTCCGCCTCTCCACCTCGTCCTCCATCCCTCTCATCCCGCTTTGATTCGTTTTTTTTGGTTTGTTTGTTTGTTTCTTTCTCTCTCTCTCTCTTGTGTTTTCCTCTCTCTCTCTCTCTCTATCTCTTGCTCTCTTCCCCATTTCCTTCATTATCTCTCTCTCTCTCTCTTTCTCCCTCGCTCCCTCTCTCCCTCTCTCTCTTTGTTTCTCCCTCTCTCTCTCTCTTTCCCTCTCTCTCTCTCTCTTTCTCTCTCTCTCTCTCTTTATCGTTATCTCTCTCTCTCTCTCTCTCTCTCTCTCTTTTGTTTTGTTTTTTTGTTTTGTTTCTCTCTCTCTCTCTTTCTCTCTATGTTTTTCTCTCTCTCTCTCTCTCTCTTTTGTTTTTCTCTCTCTCTCTGTCCGTTTCGCCGTCTCTCTCTCTCTCTCTCTCTCTCTCTCTCGCTAAATCTATAATTCTGCAACCCCTCTTAGAGGGGTTGCAGAAAACCTGCAATTCCTCTTAGAGGAGTTGCAGGATGTTCTGCACTTAGAGGGTTTGCAGGGGAAATGAAATTTCAAATCTCATTTTTTTATTCGGGCTTTTGGATTATGCTCCTATATGTTGGGCCTCGCTTGGAGGGCGAATCCTTGATGTTATACGTATGTTTACATCGATTGCCCTTCTCTCCGGCGCATACAGTCCTAACTGTTTTACGTATGCTCCTATAGATTGGACCTCCCTGGGGCACGAGTCGTTGGCGTTTTACGCGTGTTCCTATATATCGCCCTTCTCTTGCGGCTCCGACCCGCAATTTTTTATGTACGTGTGTTCCTCTGGATTGGGCCTCTCCTGGGGCATGAACCCTCCCCAGGAGGTCCCAGGAGATTCCAGGAGGCCCCAGGAGGCCACGCGAGGCTCCAGCAGGCCTCAGGACCTGGGAGGCTCCCAAATCGCCCCACAACCATCCGAAAAGGCTTCCAGGCAGTACAAGAGAGCCCCAAAACGGCACAACACGGGTCCAATATAGGCCCCAGGAAGCCTCAGGAGGTTTCAGGAGGCCCCAGGAGGCCCCAGGCCCATGCGCAGAGACGCGCTCGTACTACTAAGACTCATTCACACTCCAATTCATTCGCGCTTAGATTCATGACCAGACCGTTACAACTCAAGCCCGCTCACATTCGAAAACTCTTGCGCCTAGACACTCGCGGCGGACAGGCCAATGCGAATAGATGCGCATATGGGGAGTTCCACGCAGTGAAAAATTTCACAGCGTGGACCCCCGAAGGTCTCGACCCATTCCCTACGACCGGCTTTCTACTCTGGCAGTTTCTTGGCGGTCTCGGGGCCCTGCGAGGACCCCCAGAGCCGAAAACAATAGATGGCTTCCGTGGTGTATCTTCCATGATGCGAGGGGGTTTGGTGAAGGGGGGCGGGGCAAGGAGGCGACGCGAGAAGACCCAAATCCCGAGGGGGCCCCGGAGCTCGTCCATAGGAGCTCGCGCCCGGGGCGCGGCCGGGCTCGATCATTCGATCCCGATCGCGCTGTTTGCTGCGCGGTCTGGGCAGGTCGGGGCCCCCCTCCGCCTCGGACTGGGCTCGTCGGGCCGACGGCAATGGTGGGGGCCACGAGCAGGGGGGGGGGGTCGAGGATTGCAGGGCAGTGGCCCTCAGGGGCCCGAAACGGCTCCTGAACTGCCACGGGTGGCCCGCAAGGCCAGCGCCCATTCCCCCCCCCCCACCCGTTTATGGCCCCCCGTAGTCGAAGACCCGATTGCCGAGGCCTGGACGGCTCCTACATCTACCTGGACAGGTGCCCTCATCGGACATCGTCTGGGGCCTCTAACAGCAGCGGCGGGGAGGGGGAACCCAGACGTCCGACGGATCTAAAAATTGAAATTGAGACGGGGATTTTTCCTCGTTTTCGGATTCATGCGGTCCTCGCCAGGCCCTGGGACCGTCAACAAAAACGACTTGATCAGGCTAAAACGCAAGTCCCCAGGAATGTGTCGAGGGAGGAGATGGGGGACCGTATCGGGCGGGCCCAGGACCAGGGTGAATCGCTCCAGATCGTCCCGGAACGCTCTCAGAGCTTTCTGGAGCGCTCTGGAACGGTCGCGGTCTGCAGCACATCCTCCAGAATGGCCAGATTTCGGTCATCCCCGATCTGTCCCATAACGATTTTGTCCCAGTCGTGGCTTCGTCGTATAGGAGGGGAGGAGGCCGGTAATGTCACGTTGCCCGACCCCTCCCCTGCTCCTCCCCAGGACACGCCCCTCGCTCCTCTTTCAAGGGAGGAGAAACCAACTGGCCCCCCATAAATGGCGTTGGCTAGACAGTCCTGTGCGTTTTCTGAACATTCCTGCCCTGTCCGATTCCTTCACGCGGGTCGTTTACTAAACGGACTCGCTTGTCCGGGGTCTTATTATGAGGATGATTCTTGTGCCTTCCAGTGATCACCAGCGCGTGCACAACAGGAAACCGCCTCTAATGGGGCTTCGGCTTTGACGGGTCGAGAGGTTGGCATGTCTTCCTCGACGGAAGGCGGCGGAAGGCTGCGACGTAAAATGATTCAAAACGATGCAGCCTCCGCGGGCAGAGTCTGGTGGAAGTGAAGATGCTTCCGAACAGATGCCCACATGTTTGGTTTCCAAAATTCTGCCTGCGACCACTTGCGAACGCTTCCCATGTGGTTCCTGTTGACGCTGGGGTATCTGACACCCCCGCTGGGTATCATGTGGCTGCAGACGTCCTTCAAATTCAAATTCTGATCCCCAGCTGGTTGTGAAGGATTAGACCTGCAGGGGCAGGGTTCAACTGTGCTTGCCTGTTCGTCCCAGCCTTCCAGACCGCCCGAGCGTCGCGAAGCCAAGAACAAGAGGGCGGTATGTTCTTGTTTCCAACGCGGGTTCGGCGTGGTTTCGGCGCGGTTTCGGCGCAGATGGATTCGACGCGGTGTTAAAGTAGATTCGGCGTGCGCTCGACGCGGACTCGACGAGACCACAACACGATGGGGCAGACGAGGTCCCTCGAAGAGGCATCACAACGAATCCCCGCCTTCCAGACCTCCAGGCGTCGCGAGGCAAGTAACAAGCAAACGCGTGGCGGGCGCAGAGGAGAACACCGCGTTGGTGGGCCGCTGGGGCCTGCTGAAATGAGGGGCCCGCGGTGAGGGACAGGTTCCGGGAGGGATGTTCTTCTGGCCTAGGTCCGGCTGTAAGCAGCTGGCAAGTAGGATCAGGAATTTTGGCCTCGCCTCTTTCACGCCACAGCGCTTCGGCGAGACACGCGGACCGCGTCTGGGTCCCCAGGCGTCAGCGTCCCGAGCTCTTCCTGGCCTCCCGCCCCGCCAGGCGGAGTGCCAGGAACCCTTTTCGTTGGGGAGGGGCTCAGTGTTCCTCAATTGTTGTGTGCTTTTTGTTCCCAGGTTGTCCTAAGGTTTTCTGTGGGAAATCGAGGTTCAACTTATGGAGCCTCGTTCCTCATTTTGGGCTCATTCTGCTAGCGTTTCGATTGTATCTGCTCGCAGGGTGCAGCGTGTCGCTAGGGCCACCGCCGCGACGCGCTCCCCGCAGGTACGACCACGACTGGGACTACTTCGACCACCAGCTGCGCCCGAGCGGCGCGCCCGAGGTCGGGGTGTACGGCCGCGAGCACAGGAGCCTCGCTCGTAGCAGCTGCTTCTTGTGCCCGTTGCTCCCGGTGCTCCTCCTCGGCATCCCCCCTCCCCTGCCCATCGAACTCCTCTTCCTCCTGCTTCCTCCTCCTCCTCCTCCCCCTCCTCCTCCTCGTCCTCCTCCTCCTCCTTCTCCTCCTCCTCCTCCTCCCCCTCCTCCTCTGCTCCTCAATTGCCCCCTTTCCCTCGTTGGGGGTCCTTCGGGCATCAGGACGGAGCCCAGTTCACAACCATGCGTGTGTGGCCTTTGCCCAGCATTCGCCACCCGATCGAGAAGCTCGTGCGTCTGATCGGCCCCGCCTCCATGCTCCTCGGCTCAAGACAGCATCGGGGCTTCCTCGGTGTCAGGAGAGCTCGCGTGCGCCCGCGATCGCACTCTGCACTTCTCACGCGGCCCTCCACTGGTGCTGGCGCTGGACCCTCGCTTCTGGTCCGCTGCGCCGGGCGTCTCCCTCTCCCGCCCTGCTTCCGTTGTCGAGCTCTGTCCCCGTCTTCCTCCTCCTGCCTCCCGCCTCCCCCCTCCCGCTCCTTCGGGTCGCCTGTGGGCTCGGCTTACCTCCTGGGCCTCTGGCCTTGATTCGGATCAGGGTTTCGATGCCCTGAAGAGGGTGTTGATGATGATGCTGTTGATGATGCTGATGATGCTGATGCTGATGATACTTATGATTATGGTGATGACGATGATGATGATGCTGCTGATGATGACGATGATGACGATGGTGTTGATGTTGATGATGAGGAGGAAGATTATGATGCTGATGATGATGACGATGATGATGTTTATGATGATGCCGATGATGATGCCGATGATGACTATGATAATGCTGGTGATGATGCTCATGCTGAGTGTGATGTTGATAATGATGGCGATGATGGTGATGCTGATGACGATGATGATACTGATGATGCTGATGGTCATGGCGATTATGCTGATGATGATGACGATACTGATGGTGGTGATGGTTATGATGCTGATTATGCAGATGATGATGGTGACGATGATGATGATGACGATGCTGATGATGATCATGATGTTGCTGAATATACGAGGCTGATGATGGTGCTGATTCTGATGATGAATGTGATGTTGATGATGATGATGACGATGATGATGATGATCATGATGATGATGATGATCATTATGGTGTTGGTGGTCATGAGGATGATGATGGATGCTGCTGCTGCTGATGTTGATTATGATGATGATTATGATGATGATGATGATGATGATGATGATGATGATGATGATGATGCGACGTATGATCATGATAATGATGGTGAGAATGATGATGATGATGATGATGATGATGATGATGATGATGATGATGATGATGATGCTGATGAGCATGCGGAGGAGGAGGACTAGTGTAAACCCAAGTGTCATCAACGATGTTGGATTTGACCCTCCCTCCAAGTAGGCCTCTACAACTGTTCATTTCGATTGGGAGAACTGCCTCGTTGGAAGACAGCTGTTTGAAGATCCTGAAGCATGCCAAAACATTGTTCTCGGGATTCCAACCCCACGTATAAAGCTGACTGCCTGCGTCTTGACGATCCGGAATCGTACCAGAGCGCCATTTTAAGGATTTCAGCACCGCGAATCAACGTGTCTGTTGCACCCGCATAATCCTGAATCTTGCCCAAATCCAATTTCTGGTACGCTGATCACGGGAATCCGTGAAACTCTTGCAATGTGTTTAAAACGAATGTGCGCGGCGCTAGGGCGAGAGCCACATTTTGAAAACGACTCGCCCTCAATCCGTGAAGCCCTTGCAAACTCTTAAAAAGGAATGTGCGCGGCGCTATGGCGAGAGCCACATTTTGTAAACGACCCGCCCTCAATCCGTGAAACTCTTGGAATTTGTTTAAAACGAATGTGTGCGGCGCTAAGGCGAGAGCCACATTTTGTAAGCGACCCGCCCTCAATCCGTGAAACTCTTGGAAGTTGTTTAAAACGAATGTGCGCGGCGCTAAGGCGAGAGCCACATTTTGAAAACGACCCGCCCTCAATCCGCGAAGCTCTTGGAATTTGTTTAAAACGAATGCGCGCGGCACTAATTCGAGAGCCACATTTTGAAAACGACCCGCCCTCAATCCGTGAAGCTCTTGCAAATGTTTTAAACGAATGTGCGTGGCGCTAAGGCGAGAGCGACAATTTGAAAACAACCCGCCCTCCATCTGTGAAGCTGTTGCCAGTTTTTAAGCTTCAGAGTCATAAAGGGTGAGGAAGTCTCAGGCGAAACTCCCGGCCCGCCCTAAAAACTGGCCTCGGGGTGCAACAGGGAGAAGTTCTTTACAAGGAGAAGGAATGGAGGAGGACGAGCGAGGAGGAGGACGAGGAGGAGGAGCAGCGGGAGGAGGAGCAGCCGGAGGAGGAGGAGGAGGAGGAGGAGGAGGAGGAGGAGGGGGCTGCATTGTGTGCCCTGCGCAATGGGCGTCCGATTGTGCACGGCGGCAGCACGCTCCGGGAGTGATCTCGAGTTTCCATGCAAGGCGCCAAACAGGCGGCCCCGGTATCGACCAGGCCATCGAGTTTGGCCCAAATCGTATCTGGGTTCATGGGTGACTATGTTTTTTGGCTAAGTCGTCAGGAGAAGGAGAAGGGGGGTTGGGAGGGAGAGGGGATGAGGAGGGAATAGTGGAGCGAGGGGGAAGATGGATGAGGTAGGGCGCAGAAGGATTTGTTGGTATTTGAAGTTGCTGGAGGATGGAATGGATAAGGGACGGGGAGGAGGGAAGGGGAGGATGGAGAAGAGGGATGAGGTGGCAAGGGAAGGAGGGTGGGAGAGGAATGAGAGGGTGGAGAAGGAAGGCATAGGAGAATAAGGAGTTTCCGAACTCCCGACGTATCCTTTGCTCTTCCTCCCTCGTTTCCTCCTTTCTTGATCATTCCTCCTTCCCCCATCCCTCTTCCTCTGTCCTCCTTCTGGCGTCTGCTTCCTCGTCTATGCTCATTCCTCTTTCCCCCTTCCCTACTGATCTGTCCTTTGTTTCGCCCCCACTGCGCCACATCACTTTAAGACTATATTGTTTTTGGGTTGCTGCGTGCTGCATGAACCGCTCGTGATCGCAGCGCCGCCGATTCGAGCTGATGAGCCAATGCATCCATGAGCCTTTGGCGCGCATACCACACCGCGCAGACCACATCAGAGGAGGAGGAGGGGGAGGAGAAGGAGGAGGAGGAGGAGGGAGGGGCTAAAAAGACCATGACGATTAGAAAGGATGGAATCATTAGAAGGATGCGGGGGCTACGAGGAAATGATGAATCGGGCGGAAAATCTAAAGGAAATTCAGGCACGCGCCCTGTGGGATCTTTGGGAGGGTGTGCCGAAAGAGGCGAGAGGATACACGTGGACCCTCCCACTGCGGCCGTGTGTGTAGCTCCCTGTAGCGTGGGGCCCCTCTTCCTAATGAGTATGGGAATGTGTGGCAGTGGGTTCAATCACATCGCGCCTCCACCGCGTGCAACACCCACAATGACGTCGGGTTGGCACTCTGTCCTGGTTTCGGCAAGGACGCTTGGCTGGGTCTGGGTCAGCACCCTCTTTACAGCAGCGCCCGTTCGCGGGGAGGCCGGGGTTGGGCTGCCATTTTGCCACCTGCACGCGCACTCCCCCGCAGTGGGTACGTCTTTCCCACACTCTGGGCTCCAGGCAATCCTCTTGCGCGCCCGCAGACGGGTTACCGCTCGCACTTGACCCACAATGCTGGGTGCAATGCATCACGTTTGATCGTGTTTAGTTCAAGCGCTTGTGACGGTGCTGTTACCGAATCGGTGATGCAAGAGTGAGTGTGTGTGTGTGTGTGTGTCTGTGTGTGTTTGTGTATGTGTTCTGTGTTTGTTGTGTGTTGCATGTGTGTGTGTGTGTGTGAGCACGTGGCACTGCTGGCATGCGACATTTGTCGACCGTGAGTGTGTCGTGGGCATGTGACATTGTCGACTGGTCGCGATGGAGCGGCTGTCTGGCGTGGGTCATTCGTTCCTAAGGTTTGCGCGCTTGTCTGGCAGTGGTTTCAACGGTATGGCGTTTCCACCACGTGCAAAATCCATAAGGCCGTCGGATTGGCGCCCTGTCCTTGTTTTGGGGCGCGCTTCTGGGTCACAGTCAACCCCCTCTTCACAGCAGCGCCCGTTCGCGGAGAGGCCAGGGGTGGCCCGAAAACGGGTGCACCGAGGACATGGCCACGTTTGCCATTGTCAACGGCCTCGTCGTCCACCAATCTTCAACCAATAGTTCAAGTCTGTGCCCTCTCGTTCGCGAGAGGGCATGCGCTCGTTTTGCAAGACCTGCGGTTTTTCCGGGAACCGCATTTGGCGGCCGAGCTTTTCCCAGAACTTTTGTCGGGATGGCATTTCCGGCCCGAACGGTGTGTTTCCATCATATCGTCGGAAGATTGTACCAGTATCCTTTACCAAGTTCCCACAACACCTTAATCGGAGAAGTTTGTCGTCGACGTGATGGCGCAGAAGGAAAGAAGGCAGTAGTAGCCTGTAGTTGAATTTAAGGAAGTCTATCGCTGAAGTGCGTTGCCGAATTTGAGTGAAACGCAGGAGGACAGAAACTTACGATTCCACGTATGTTCAGGAGGGAAGGGGGGGCGTGTGGGGGAGGAGGTGGGTGGAGGAGTGATTGTCGTGGGCTCGACCCACGAGCGCCATGTGGAAGACGACACCAGTCTGTGAGGGTGCTGGGGGGGGGAAGGACGAGGGAGCATCGAGGGGGGTGCGGGAGGGGAGAGAGGGGGGGGAAGGACGAACAGGCGGGACGGGAAGTGCTTCTGGGCCTCAAGGAGCCGACGTGCAGCTGCTTCGCGCGACGGAAAGGCACAACGGGGAAAGAAGGTACACTGCAGGGGGGAGGGACCGAGGAGCCCAGACGGGATCTGAGCGGACGGGAGGCTCCGCGCCAGGGACTGGCGGTGCCTGGAGCTGCAGATCGCTAGATCTGGCTGTGGCGACGGACGAAAGGATGGTAAACTTAT